AGGATGATTGTTTTGGATGATGTAAATAGTCTAGCAAAGGAATAGGCAGCCCTCTGAAATCATCCCCAGGGATATTCACACGGAGTGGGGGAAGATATTCCATCAGGAGTAAGAATCCAAAAAAAAAAAAAAATGGAAGACTAAAATCTTTGAGCCCTCATGGTGCTTAGAACTGTACAATTGTAAGGAATTGTATGAAGAAAAGAAAAATTGGGCATAGGAGTAGTGACTGAGAGATAGCTGGCATGGAAGGACAGGATGTGAAGGGGGAAGAAAGAAGTTGAACAAGGTCAGGAAGCATCCTGATTTTACTCTGGATTTCCTATTTGATCTCTTCATCCCTGAATGCTTAGGTTGCTTCCAGCTCTAATAAATCTTTCTGAACCACCATCCTTTACTAGTGGGATGTAAAAACAATTAGGAACTGAAAACTGAGCCTAGGGATAGAAAAATATAAACTGCTCCAGTTCTGGGCTCATGATATTGTAGACTACCCAAGGTCAAGGACCTTGTCTTCTACCTTGTCTCCGCCCTACACCCAGTGTCTAATCCAGCGCTTCTCTCAACGATACTAGTGCATAAAATGACTGCAGGTGATGTCAGGGAAGGCAGATCACACCAGGGGTCCTTCCCTGAAGCAGTTTCTCAGTCTGCTCCTCTCTTTCTAAGATGGCAGACCCTGCTCACGGCCACTGCCTGTTCTTTGCAGTCTGTGACTGGGTCAGTATCTGCCTCCCTGCAGAAGAAGCCCCCTGTGCCCACATAACCATGGAGCTTGCTCACGCATCTTGCAACTGAGGAGTCCTGGCCCACGGACCTCCCACATACCCTGATAAATGGCCCCATTTGTATTCTTGCAGCTCTTAATCTCACTAATACAGTGAATTAAACTTACCTTCTCCAAAGTACTCATCTGTGGGAAGAAATAACCCCCTTTTTAAAAAAAAAATTTTGCCAATGATTCAGAATTCACTTCCTTTTGCTTCCAATCATGGTATATGGGGATGTCTGAATGCATAGGGCAGGTTGATAATGCCTTTGGGTTATTGGCTTGTTAAAGGACATCTCATCACAAAACAAAATTGTGCGGTTGATTTGGGACTCCCGTTTTCATACATTTTGTCAGAGAAAATATTGTAGTCCTTTAGCCTGTATTTTTCCTTTAATCCCTTTTGAATGTGTCTTCAGCATCTTTCCAGTGGCACCCAGGCCATCTTTTCGGCACCCCCTCGGTCTTTCATTCCTTCCTCATACCTCCTTCTCCTTCCTCTCCTGTCCCTCCCTCAGGAGTTTCTCCCTGCCCCTCTTCTCTCTTCCTCTCCCTCTCAGCAGTTTGTCTTCCTGGCAGCCAGCAAAGAGGAGTAAAACATTTGTTGCCTTCTGCCCCTTTCGATGCGGCATGGAATCAGAATTTGACATTGCAACTGGACCCGGAGATGCCAGGGAAAACATTTGACCTTGCAGTTTCCTAGATCTCTAGGCATTTAGCAACCTCGATTTGTTCACCCAGTATTGAAAGCAGTAACAAAAATTACATCTCAATCACCTTCAGTGAGCTTAAGATGGGGAACAGTTTCAAAGTCCTCTTCCCATTTCTTAGCAAAGACAACTGAGAGAATGCATGCTTTGTAGTAAGACCGTAAACACTCTGAAAAGTTAGCTTCAGGGGTCCAGATCCTTGACCTCAGCGCACCTGACTGAGCACTGTTCTCCAAAGAGGGTGTCTTTTGAGATGCAGGCTCCCCAAGGATCTCTGCATGAGAGGAGCTCAGTAAGCTTTGTTGACCAAGTGGCCACTTCGAAGACCCAGATAATTGCACATGGGTGACAAGAGTGAGCTGAGAAGAGCACGGGTGGTGCCTTATAACTTTGCTGCTCAGTGCGTGGGTCCCAGAGTAGCAGCATGGAGATCCTTGGGCACTGGTTAGAAATGCAGAACCCCAGGCCCCACTCTAGACCTACTGAATCAGAATCTATGGACTTTTTAGATCCCAGAGGAATTTATATGCAAATGAAAATCTGAGAAGCACTTACTTTATAGTACAAACTTGACAAAATTCATTCTCTCACTTAACGAGGTAGTATTATTGTAACGATCCCCATTTCACAGGAAACACTCTTCTTTCCTCCCTTTTTTGCTGTCATATAAGTATCCCCTAAAAACAACATCACAGATAGTGAAAATACATTCCCACAATCCAGAGGGTGGCTGTGTCATCCAGTAATTCCTACACAAAGGATCCAGGATCTGCCCTACTCATACAGATGCAGAGAATTACTCAGGGTCCCAGCACATTGGCCTCCATCTTCTTTGAGGTGACCCCATCCATTTGCACAGGCCAACACTTCTAAGTTGACTGGCTTCTATAAACCTGCCTTATCAGGGGCTTTAAGACATGTGTCCAGTGTGTACCATGTAGCATGATATGGATCTATCTCATTCTCTGCAAGGAAAGGGGCTCAGTGACCCTGCCTGAGGCTCCTGCTCGACCTACTGCAGGTGGCTCTTTTGTTTGGTCAGATGAAGTCGGGTTTAATTACTTGTGGCAAATGCACTGTAGCACATTTTGGAAAAAATCATGGCATCTTAGTAGTAGGGAGGCAGCCTTTTGATCTTGCCATACTTATTCATTACAGAAAAGGTATAGTGAATTTGGGAAGTTGTTTTGTGTGATTGATTTCACTGTTGTTTAATCCTTAAAAATACTTAGATTGGTCAACCAACCATCATTTCAATAAGTGAGGCCATTTTTATCTTTATAGACTTCCTGAAATAAGTGATCTTAAAATCTTTTTCAACTATGAGATTCTGTTAAGTCTGAGAGAAATGAGGAAAAAGGGATGAGAAGATGTTTCTATCCCTCTAATAAATCTTGAGGAATTAGGATATGAACTAGCCTGAATGATTAAATGTCTGCTGCAGTGGAGGGCTTGTGACCAGCACCACTAACCTGAGATCCTGGTGGATAGGGCCCTACCCCAGCCCCAGGGGGCGCCATGCTCTGGAGTGTCTTGCTTGACATTTTCTAAGTCCTCCTCTGGTGCCTGGGAGCAGCCTAGGCCAGCAATACCATTAAGGAGAGATACTCAGAGTCTAGACTGGGAGTGTGTGTCCTGTCCTGGGTCCCGTTATTCCCCTTCAGGGTGGGGTGCATTTCCAACCTCTACTGTCAGCCATTCTTCACATGGGTTCAACCAGATTCCCCAAGATCACCAAACTCACACCTGTGGGCTTATTCTGGGACCCGGTCCACAGGTCCATGTTCTAGGAGGGTGGTAAAGGATTTCTCCTCCTGACAGTGCAAGATTTCTTTCATATAGCTGCATGAGATTGGGTTACCAGAATGGTGCTGATGTTGGATGACTCTGCTTGATCATATAGAGAGGGACCTCTTGAAAAATATTTTGCCAGGGGACCCATACCTGCTTGGGATGTACTGAAGTAACTGATGGCAGAGCCTGGGTGGTTGGGACTTGGAGTGAGGGGTGGAGGCAGGGAAGGCAACAGGAGCTGAAAAGCAGTTGGTCTGAGGAAATGGACAGGGCTGGTGGAAACTCCCCAAGGGTTAGACTTGGAGCAAAGTCAGGATGCTAAAGCACCTGCCTCCCTACCTCTGCCCATCACCCTACCCCTCATCTTCCTGCTACTCCACATCCATGGTTGACCTAGACTTAGTTGACTGAACACCCATTGGATAGGAGTAAGTTTATATGGGAGTGTGAGGAAAGTTATAATGAGTTTCTATCTTCCTGAAAACTAGTTTCACTCTAATGCTTGGAGCACAAAAAAGAATCAGGCAGCAGACCTACAAGAAAGGCAAATGACTGTATTTCGTCCCTGGCCTTTGTGTTGGCTGGGTTTTCACAGGAGCCTGGTGCTTTGACAGAACTGAAAACATTTGGGGTTCAAGACAGAGGGTCCATTCTCTTTGCACTGAACCACAGGGAGGGGGATGAGGGATAAGACAGAGGAGCCAGATTGTTGTAAGACACGTAATGGTGATTGCAAACAATGTACATTTTGTGACCATACAATATTTTGGATCATGAATTCCAAGCTTCATAAGTGTCTAGGAATAAAGTCTCCAGAATGTCCCACAGAGTTGGGTATTAAATCCACAAGGCTGTTCTAGTAACCATGGGTCCATCATTTGGGGCTACCACATTTATCTTACTTTGGCAATCATTTATTGAGCACCAAATGCATAGTGGTTACAAAATGCTTCCACATTCATTCTTTCTCCAGTTCATCTTCTGCAGGACGGTTTGAAACTGAATCAACTGCTTGGCATCTATCTGTATTAAACTATTAAATGGTCACTTATTTATTCTACAAGTAGTTAGTAGTTTGTGTTCCATATCCAAAGGAATATTTTTTATTTGGAAGAGAGAGGTGGGGGGCAGAGGGAGAGGGAGAGAGAATCTCAAGCAGGCTCCACACCCAGCATGGAGTCCAACTAGGGGCTCAATCTCATGACCCTGAGATCATGACCTGAGCCAAAATCAAGAGCCAGATGCTTAACAGGCTGAGCCACCCCCAGGCACCCCACAAAGGGATTTCTACATAATGAAAAATTAAGATGCCCATGCTAACATAGTCTAAAGTTATTCCCACATTTTTTTATTATATTATCGATCATTACAATTCTCTTTAAAACATCGAAGTTTAGTAATGTGCTGGGATTTTTCACACGTGTTCTCTTAGTTAATCCTCATCATAATCATATTTGAAAAATAATGAAAATCTTTTCTTTTCAAATGGCTTGAAAGTTAAAGTGAGTTGGACAAAAACACAATGACCCAAGACTTAAGCAGAGATTTTCTTTCTCCAAATGCCATACTATTTGGTCAACATGATATCTTACAATCTTTGACTCAATGTTCAAACCTCATTTTTACAGCTTTTTGTATTTCTTCCCCTCCAAGCTCATGATGTGAATATAGTTCTGTCCCTGGTTTCACGGTTTCTTGATTGTTTCTTTCTCTTTCTTTTCTCCCAGAAGGCCAGGGCTTTGTGAGTGAGGATGAATACCTGGAAATCTCTGACATCAAACGTGACCAGTCTGGGGAATATGAATGCAGCGCCTTGAATGATGTGGCTGCACCTGATGTGCGGAAAGTAAAAATCACTGTAAACTGTGAGTTGACCCATTGTCAGGAAGTTTCAGAGGAAGGGAGAATATAGGGACTGAGGGAACAAGCTGGTCATGGCAATGCCATTTTCTGACCATCCCAAACTGTTTCCAACAGGAAAATACTGTGTCACATTGCTTTGCACCATGACTGTCTCCAGTGCCATTTTGCCCCTGGAATCTACCTGTGCCCGTCAAAGTTTTAGCTAATGGGGAGAATTGTTAACTTTGAATTGGTTTGAAGGCTTAAGAAGATGCTGGGGTAAATGTAATATCCTCGAGCAAGAAATTCTTTTCCTAAAATAAATGGTTATTTAACTGGGAAGGTGGGGTGGCACAAGAAATCCATTTGCACAGCAGGTGACTAAATGTGCCTTTCATTTGTTTCGTGAAATCACTCTGCATTTTCCTCCCGCAGACCCTCCCTATATCTCAAAAGCCAAGAACACTGGTGTGTCTGTTGGTCAGAAGGGTATCTTGAGCTGTGAAGCTTCTGCAGTGCCTATGGCTGAATTTCAGTGGTTCAAGGAAGATACCAGGTACCTTAAAAATGGAAATAGGGCATATATGAAGCAGAGCTGATGGATCATTCCCCACATGGAAAAGGAATGATAAAGTAAAGGGGAAAGATGTGGCAAAACCAAAATGCATTTGTCCCCTTTATAATAGAGTCTCTTTTTAGAACCAGAAACAAACAAACAAAAAAATCAAGGAAGCTGGCAAGTGGGAAAATGACCTGGTTTCAGAATCTGAGATTAGTTGTAGACATGGCAGCCCTCAAATGACTAGAAGCCAGTGAATCTCACCTTTGGAGCATGAACATCCTTTCCTTTTTCCTCCTCTGGAGGCTGTGGTACACATGTTTTGGTTTAAAGAGACTGGGTCAGTTCGAGGAAAGGTGTCTGTGAGCAGGGCTTCCTTGTAGGATTCATCTCTGGTATCTTTCAGTTCCCCCCAGCATCTCTGTCTGCTATTTCACTTTATTTGTAGAACCAGACCAGCAATACCTTCTCTTATTGCAGGCTAGCCACTGGCCTGGGCGGCGTGAGGATTGAGAACAAAGGCCACATATCCACTCTGACTTTCTTCAATGTTTCAGAAAAGGATTATGGGAACTATACTTGTGTGGCCACAAATAAGCTTGGGAACACCAACGCCAGCATCACACTGTATGGTGAGTGCAGGAAGCCTGGATGCAGTGGGCTTGGCCACGAGGGAGAACTACGGGGCTGTAGAGGGAGGAAGGCTCAATCTGCTTGGCCTGTGTCCATCCATACTGCTGAACCCACCACCCTAGATACGAAGTGCTTCTCCCGGTCATTCTCCTAAGCATGTGATACATGATGTTTGCAAGGTAATTGATATCTCCTGGTCCACTGAAAGGCAAGGTATGCACCTTACAAAAGGAGTAAACCCAATTCTGAACCAAGTTGAATGGTGGTTGCCATAAAAAACATAGAACCATGGAACAGTTCAATTGTAGTATCTAACGGTCTGCGGGGGTAAGTTAGATACAATTGTAACATACCTTCTATAGGAAGAGTCTATAATTCTGGGGGTTATATTCATAGATTTGAACCAAGTCAACTGCTGCCATCATGAGTCTCATGTTGACTGCCATGTCATATTCTCACTCATTGGAGTGGATGGAGCAGTAGTCTGAGTCCTCATCAAGACAACCGTTCTGTCCACAGCTGGAGCATCAAACCCTTCTCTGAAGGCCTTTTCCTCCCATATGGATGGAGAGGTCTCCAGATCCCTGACTGGCTCCACTGGAAGCCCTTATCTTTCCCTCACTCAGCCTTCCCACTTTGCTGTGTCCATCTCCTTGTGCCACATTTCACATCATGGGCCAGGGTCAGCTTGTTGTGATATTTTGTGTGTGTATGTATTTGTTTATTTGCTGAGATTTGGTTAGAGGTGAGTGGGATGGAAACGTATTCATTTCCCATGTGTATCTCAGACCCTGAACAAGCTTTCAGCGTTGACATTAACTAAACTTTGTCCACCAACCATCTGAAATGTGTGATCTATGTCTTTTGTTTTCTCTCTGCATTGTGTGTGCATTGTGCTGTGTGTGTCTTAGAAATAAGCCCCTCATCAGCAGTGGCAGGTGGGTACAGCATGTTCCTTCCTTCCTCTGCCTGCCTGAATGCCTATGCTTTTGAATTTAAGCCCACTTCAAAGATTGCCTGCTCCACCTCCCTGACTTATTTATCTTTAATAGATAGATCTCAGGGGGTTTGGTTTGCACAGGTTAGGTAACAAGCATGTAGAATATGATGAATTTCACATACACACATCATTATATATTTTGGGGGGAAGGGGTTTTCCCCCCAAAGCAATATACTTCGACTTGGTGGCCTGTAAAATAGAGGAGTGTTCTGCTATTTCTGCACATAGCAGCACCAAGAGGAACCCAGCCCAGAGACGAAATGGATTATCAAGTGATTGTCTCCATGGGGAAGTCACCCTAGTATGAATGTTTTATTCTTTTAGCTCAGGGCAAAAAGCGATAATGACTTAATTCTATAAACTCACTTTAAAATAGAAGTACTTGGGGTCATTATTCATCATATAGTAATAATATCTACCATTTACCAAATATTTACTGGTTTCTAGGCGTTTTGTTAGTACTGTGCAAAACAGGTTATTAATTCCATTTTAAAGACAAGTACAAGGAAGACCAGCGAGGTTAAGTAACACTGAAGTACGCGTACCAGTGAGTAGGTGCTGGATGAAACCCAGATTTGGCCCTCCATTAGATCCTGGGTAAACAGAGAGCGATGGACACATGCGCACACACACACTTGCACACAGTTAGATGAAGCAGCAGCAGGTGCCTCGCTGTGCTTCCAGAGGCAGCGGCCTCACAGCCCTAGTTCCCTATGTTCAATCTCAGTCACATACAAAGTGATAACATTTGAATTTTCCAGACCTGGAATCAGCTCTGTAACTGTCACTTTTCATAGCTCTGGATCTAGGAGAATCACGGGCAACTAGTGCTACCCAAGCCTTGAGGTCTATGACTGTCCATCTCTTGGTTTTGATAAAACTGAGGGGAAAGAGTGGGGTGGGTGTGATGCTCTGACCCTAACCCTGCCATCACTGTCTGAGTGGGGTCACCAGGGGTATTGAATATGGTGAAGAGAGTGAACCTAGGACTGATAACCAGATAATCTAGGTTCTTGTGCTTCCCTCCCTCCGATGAGAGAGGTGTGTCATAGCAGATAACAACAGCAAATGTAGGCACAACTGTACTAGCCTGTTAGGGCTGCCCTAACAAACTATCACTGGTTGGGGGGCTTAAACAATGGAAATGTATTTCCTCACAATTCTGGAGGCTAGGAGTCCAGGATCAAGCCAGGAAGGTCTATCATCTGTTTTTGATGAGTGCTCTCTTTCTGGCGTGTAGACAACTGCTTTGTCCTCACGAGGCCTTTGTTTTGAGTGTGTGGAGTGTGTGGAGTGATACAGACAGAAAGCGCAGAGGTGGGAGGAGAAAAACAGGGATCTCTGGCATGGCTTCTTATTAGGACCCAAATACTGTGGAATCAGGACCCTACCATTATAACCCCATGTAACCCTAATTACTTCCTGATAGGCCCCATCTCCAAATACACATTGGGGGTTAGGTCTTCAACATATGAATGTGGGGGAGATACAGTCCTGTCCACAGGGAAGACATAGCTTCATATCCCAGTTCAGCCAGCCACATGCCAGCCACTTCATCTTCCTGAGCCTTACTCTCGTCATGGGTGCTATTGGGGTATCATCAATACCTTCTTTAAAAGGCTAGCGAGAGGACTATGTAAGTCTTACAGAGAGCGAGCCCAGCAGATGCTATGTTTAGATGCATGACTTCAACAACATGCCAAGTCTACAGGCCTCAGTTTACCCAGCTAAAATGGGGATGATATTAAATAAATAAATAAATAAATAAATAAATAAATAAATAAATAATAAAATGGGGATGATATTTCTTGGCCTGCTGCCTCTCATTATGAATTGTCCATAAGATAATATTTACCACGGAGGCATGACAAACTGAAACTTGTATAAATGCAAGGTATTGCAGTTACTTCCGCTGCTTGCCAACACCTGTGACGCAGCCCCTCTTATTACTGCTTCCCTTGGTATGGCTGCCAAGATTGTTGCTCAACTGGACTGTGCATTCCTTTCTTCCAGAGTCTCTTATGCCCTTTACTACAGCATCTGCAATCCCCATAATCCACACATCCTGCTTCACCTGGTTAGTACCCACTCACCTCCCATCATCCCTTCCTGAGAGATGCCTTCCCTGACCTCTGTGAATGGGCCAGTCCTCCATTGCACACTCTCGTATAACGCTTCGGAAGGCCACTTGCACCACAGTGCACTTGCTAGCATTCGTTCAGCAAGTACGCGCCAGTACTTGCCACAAGTAGGGCACTGTTCTCAGTGACGAGGACACAGGAGTGCACAGCAGCTATATTCCTTGTCCCTAGAGCCTTCCCTGGCTAGTTGCAATTTTACTTCTGTTTCATTTATTTAGTTTGCTTGATTAAAGTCTTTCCTCCCTTTTAGCCTGTATGCTCCATAAACAAAGGGACCATGTCTGGTTTGATTCTTAGAACCTAGCACAGAGATCCACACACAGTGGTGGGTCAGAAAAATCTTGTTGAATGAGTGAACATGTATATACAGAGACTGGAGAGTCATGTTGGTGATGCCAGCAGCAAGAATTCAACTGTCAAGGATGAAATATGGCAGCATGGAGTAGGGTCTATACACTCAGAGCCTCTTTGAAGCCAGGTTGTGCTGCTCACTGGCTGAGTGGCTCTGGAAAAGTCGATCTCAGTGTGCCTTATTTTTTTCATCAGTGCAGGTATTTTAGAAAACATGTCCTGTAATTGTCTGACACTATGCCTGAGTGGAAATAGCTTAACAAAAGATCAGAGTGACATTGTCCAGTAGACCAGCCCTTTCTCCTGGCCATGAGTGTTCCTTCCAGGCCTCAATATTCCCATAATTATGGCTAACTAGTGTTACCAGGCTTACTGGTAACTTACTATGTGCAGAGCCACTAGACTAAGCGTTCTACATGTTTTATCTCATTTAATGATTTGGGGCACCTGGGTGGCTCAGTCGGTTAAGCGTCTGCCTTCGGCTCAGGTCATGATCCCAGGGTCCTGGGATCGAGCCCCGCTTTGGGCTCCCTGCTCAGTGGGGGGTCTGCTTCTCCCTCTCCCTCTGCCTGCCTCTCTGCCTACTTGTGCTCTCTCTCTATCTCTCTGTCAAATAAATAAATAAAATCTTTAAAAATTTTTTTATCTCATTTAATGATTCTAGGAAGTAAGTAATATATTTATCCCGATTTTACAGAGGATGAAATTGAGACATTAGGCACGTTACTCAACTCATAGTGGCTTACAAATGCTTGAGCTGAGATTTAAACCTATGTACTCTGGTTCCAGTGTCTGAGCTCTTTCTCCTACTTCGATCCAACTCACCATACTTGGCAACCCATCATGGACATTGGTGGATGCCCTTCCAGATGGAAACCCGTATCAACAATTAGCCTGCTTGGACCCATTTCCCATACCAGCATATCCCCTGTTCCAACTAAATCTGAACCCATTCTGCAGTAAACGTAGGGGTGCATATATATTTTTTTTGATTTAGTGTTTTCACTTTTGTTGGGCAAAAACCCAGTAGTGGAATTAGTGGATCATATGGTAATTCTATTTTTAATTTCTTGAGGAACCTCCATACTGTTTTCCACAGTGGCTGCACCAATTTGCATTCCCACCAACAGTGCATGAGGATTCCTTCAAATAATTTAAAAAGCAAAAAATAAATCTGAACCCATTCTTTTAAAGGACGTTTTTTACATTTACAACCCATACACACATACTTCCCAAATATACACCTCCCCTCCACCCCACATTCCCAGGCATACATTGGTGTTTGCCCTCAAAGACTATACGATTGTTTTTGGAGACCCTTTTGACTCTGCACTGTGACCCCATCACAACACACACTCATAATAGGGCTCTCACACAAACACATCTTTATCTATTTCCTACCTACATGCAAAGAACAAGGGGAAGTGGGATGAAAGCAGTTTCAAAAGAACACATAAGACAAAGCCCGTGAGACAGTGGGTTGGTGAGCGAGCTGAAGCAGGAAGTG